TTTTAAACAGTTGTTGGTTTATTCAAGTCTTCCATTTCTCTTTGAATTTATTTTTATAATTTATATTTTCCAAACTTATAATGTTTTTCTCTTATACTTTAAACTTTCAACTGCATCTGTAGTTATATCTTCCTTTCATTTCTAATGTTATTTTGTGCCTAATTCGTGTCTTCTCTCTTTTTTCTTGATCAGTATAACGGGGGGCTTATTTATTGTCTTTTCAAAGAACTGGCTTTTAGCTTTATTGATCATAATTAGTTTCTGCTTTTGTATTTATTTCTTTTTTCCTGCTTTCTTTGAGTTTACTTTGAGTCAAATGTTTCCTGAGTTAACTCATTTATTTTTCTTAAAAAGTTTTAATATATGAGATATCCCAAATATCCAGAAAAACAAAAAACCAAAAACATATATATGTAATGAATACCCATGTAACTACCACACAGATTTAAAAAATCAAATTATTTTCAATCTTTCTTTGTTACTAAAGATTTCTTACTTACCAATAAATGCATTTAAGACTACTAACATAATGTAATATAACATACATTGCATCTTACAATTCTTGATTTGTAGAGCTTTGGTTATCTTTTAGTTTCCAACATTTTGAAATTTATGTTGTAATTTCCTCTTCAACTCATACACTATTAGAATGATATCTTTAAAATTCCAATGTATTTTCCCTTATCTTTCTATATTGATTTCTAATTTTATTGGAAAGAGAATATTAAATCTATTCTTTTAGATTAGCTGATACTTCTTTATTGATTTGGAAAGATGCTCAGGACATATTATTAAGAGAAAACATCATTATGTTCAAAATTACTGCATTGAGGAGAAAAAGCATGTGCATACTTGCAGGGAAAAAAGATAAAGGGGATACAAGCCAAAATATTATTCTGACAAATAGTTATCAACAAAGTGAAAGGAGATTGGTTTTCTTTAAGTTTTTATTTTAATTCCAGTTAGTTAACTTACAGTATTATATTAGTTTCAGATGTACAATATAGTAATTCCACACTTTATGGAAGGTTTTCTTCTAACTCATTTTTCTTCTTGAATTTTCAATGATTTCTCTAATGACCATGTTCTCTCTTAAAAAATAAAAAATCAGCTTACTGATTTTTAAAAATATTTCTTTGTAAACATATTTGATGCCCATTCAAAAAGCTTTTTAAAATATAGAGATGTATACTATACAAAGTTCTTGCTTGACTTCTAAACATACAGAGCATACATTTGTTAATTTAAAAATGGTATATATGTAAACATATATGTATTATATACATAGATGTAGATATATGTATATGTAGATATTTCTACAACTTGCTTTTATCCCTTATATTACATTACGGAGACTTTTGCTTTGCTGTAGCAGACTGACCATGTGACTTACACACATATTCTCCTGAAAACTCATTGAAATGACAGCATAGATGTACCCCCAAAGAGACGAAATCAGGATAATAAATTCTGAAAAGGATAACAAAAAATAAAATGTAAGAAAGAGAAACCAAGTCACAGGAAATGGTGGTACCATTATCAGGAAGGTAGGGGTGAGGTGGGTTGGGGCATAAGGAGCGGACCACCTCCACTTTCTTCTTGGCCCCAGTCAAGAGTTAATTCAGAGAAATAGCCCAGGGAAGCCTTAAACTGGGGGATACCAGGCACGAAAATTACTCCGGGACATACTGGTGAGGGAAACAATGATACACATGAGGTCATGTCTTATATATTAATAAAACAATATATGCACATAAATAGGAATGTGAAAGCATGGACCCACCCTGGAAAGATACACACAGTATCTGTGGTTACATGATAGTTTCCCACTGGCATGGTGCTGGGCTCTTCTCTAAATTTTCTCCCTGAGTGATCCTGTTCATTTCTGTGGCTTTAAATGCGGTCTGTGACTTTAAATTTTTGTCTCCTTTGGGTGGGCCCCCCCCCCCCCCCCCCCCCCACTGGCTCAGACTAAGCCAACCGTGGTGCTGTATTCCTCAGCCACGGTGCTTGCTTTAGGGAAGCGCATGAGACTAGAGCCTTTGGGACGTGGTGGAGCTCCGAGGCAGACACTTTTCCCGGCTGGCTTTGCACCTGAGAGAGAGAAAGTTCTGGCAGCATTCTTGCTCTAAGCTCTACCAGTTCACATTGCCACCCAACTGTTACTAATCCCGAGTAACATCAATTATTTATTTTTGTCTTTGCCAGTGGGTTAGGAGTAAATATATCTGCTTGACATTTTGTGTGTTGTTAGTGAGGTTAAGCACCTTTTCCTATTGTGTAGTCATTTGTATTTCTTTTATAAGTTGTCCATTTATTCTCTTTTGTCATTTATAAATTGCCTTGTTAGCCTGTGCCTTATTGATAAGTAAGATGTTTTAACATATTGTGACTATTATGCCTTTCTTATAGATATTACAAATATATTTAGCACACTGTTTTAAATAACTATTTTCTAATTATTTTAATGTTGTTATTGATGCTGAATGTGTCCCGGCACAGTCATTAATCTACTGTGCCTATAAATTCACATGGGAATTAAGGAGTGGAGCAGCCTCTTTCTAAGTGCTTATTCTCCTAGCAACATCTCCCAACACTGGTTTACTGTGGATTGGTCAAATATGAAAATTCTCCTTCACAGGCTGTTAAAGGTGTGCAAGCATAGACTTCATTCTATGAAAATTTACAATAAAGAGAGTAAAACATTTGAATAATCATTTTGGCTTTATTTATCACTGAAAATACAAATTTTTCCAACATATTGACTTCACATATAATTTACCTTATTGATTAAGCGCAATGTGAGTTTTTGTCTTAAAAATTAAGTCCATTTACTCTGAAAAACAAACTGAGGGTTCTAGAGGGGAGGGGGGTTGGAGGATGGGTAAGCCTGGTGATGGGTATTAAAGAGGGCACGTTCTGCATGGAGCACTGGGTGTTATGCACAAACAATGAATCATGGAACACTTCATCTAAAACTAATGATGTAATGTATGGTGATTAACATAACAATAAAAAATTAAAAAAATTAAGTCCATTTAGTGGTAAGTTTTTGTGGCCTCTCTGAGTTCCATGGACCAACAATTAGGAAATGCTGATTTATCTGACCAGCAAATAATACAATAAGAACAAATAGAATAGCTAAACTTTATGAGCATCAGTAATGTGGTACTATTCTAAGGGTGTGCTACACACATCACGCCCTTTATTTCTTAAAAGAACCCCATGAGGGGGTGCCTGGGTGGCTCAGTTGGTTAAACATCTGCCTTCGGCTTGGGTCGTGATCCCGGGGTCCCGGGATCGAGCCCCACGTCGGGCTTCCTGCTCAGTGGGGAGTCTGCTTCTTCCTCTCCCTCTGCCTGCCGCTTCCCCTGCTTGTGCTCTCTCTTTCTCTCTCTGTCAAATAAATAAAATCTCAAAAAACCAAAAACCAAACCCAACCTCATGAGGCAGGTACTATGACTATTCCTATTTTCCAGATGAAGGAACAGGCACAGCAAGGTTAATGAACTAATCCAAGCTCACCCAGCTACTGGGGAAGAGCAAGTCTTTGAACTCAGGCAGTCTGTGCTCACTGGCTACACCTTGAGCCATTAGGCCCACTGCTTTCTTAGTGTTTTGTTTTGTTTTATTTTGTTTTGTTTTGGTTGTCTTAAGCTTGATTTTATCACTTAAACCCATATGGTTCAGATCTGAGTTTATGTTTTATCACATGAAAATGGGAATTCGATGTGATAAGGACTCTTAGTGTGTTTAATCCTGAGTTCCGTAAATGGGCCTGGCATATATTTTTAAGAGATCAAGAATTACTAAAACGCTCTGTGGTGTCTCATGCAGCCCTAAACAAGAACTGAAGTCAAATTTTGGAATGATTGCCATTTTGACCTATACCAAGAATATGACATGTATGTATTTTCACTGAGTGTGTCTTTATCAAGCGGTGGCTAGTTATTTCAGATTGTCAGAGAAGCAGATACCTGCTGTCTTGACAGGGTAAATAGGGCTCCTAAGTGTCACCTTAGGGGGTGTCGGCCATTGCCTGGAGCCAGGCTGAGCTAGCAGGCTGCTCTGGGAGAGCCAGCTGCCAGGGACCTGGCCACAGGAGCTGAAGGGAAGAGCTAGGAGAATCTAGGTGAGAGGATCTCTGACTCTCGGGTGCCCAGCCTGAGGAAAGGGGTGCTTGGTCAGTAGGCATGTGGGCCAGGCACAGTGGGGCCTGATGCTCAGGGATTGGGCTTGGGGAGGGATGGTCCGGAGGAGCTCCCAAACACCTGTCTGAGAAGCGTGGTGGCCAGCAGGTCATTCTGAGTGGATTTGGTACCACTTGGGGGGCACAATTGTGCATCTGAAAGCAGCCCCATTCTTAAGCTCCTGCTCTCACTCCACTCCTCTATCCCAGAGCTGGTAAGGACATTTCACAGCCAGTAACCTCTCATGAGGGATGCACTGGGGAACCCTAGAAACAATGTTTATAAATATTAATAAGAACTAATATCTGCTGAGCTTATACCACCGGTCAGGAATGATTCAAAGACCTTCCACACGTACAAACCCTCTGAGGCAAGTATTGTTTACAGAAGAGGCAGGTGAGGCAGAGGGAGCTTAGGAAAATCGCCCAGGGTCACACAGCATGTAAAAGGGGCAGGTGGGAAAGGTGGGGGGCTGTTCCACCTGAGCGAGTTTGGCTCCAACCCCAAACATCAAGCTGTTATGCTCTATTGGCTTCTTGGGATATTAGTAAAGGGCTCTTCTCTGTAGATGTAAGAGGAACACTGGACTTGCTACACTGCTTACAACAAAATGTCTCAGTCTCAAGGCAGTAATTTCCTTCAGCCCCTCAGCTGTCTTCCAAATGTCCTTCACCTCTGGATTTTCCTGAGCTGGGAAGGGGCTCAGCTCTTAGCGTTTAAAAAGCCACAAGAGGCTACATTTAATACATATTTTTACTGCTGCTTTTTTTGTCCTGTTGGGCTCATTTTGTCCATCAATTTCCCCTGCAGAACCAAGACCAACCGTGTATGCTGACTGCTGTCCGGCCACCTCAGGACTGCCAGGTCTGGCACAGTGACCTTGGGTCCTGGCTCTCCCTGCAAAGAATTCATCACTTACAGTACTGTCCACTGAAGGCCGCCGGTCAGAGCTGCTGGAACACTGAGAAGTCCAGTAGAGGAAGGCTGCTCAGGTTCACACTCAAGTTCCAGACTCCAATAGGGCAGAAAGAGCAAGTCAGTATGTCATCCCCCTAGAGGTTAATGATAAAACTAGACAGCATTGTCAACCGCATCCACTTCAGGGCTCTGGAAATCGACCAGAGGCAAACAACAAATTGAGAAGTGTTCTTTTCATCCAGAACTGCTGTATTTTGGTATGAAGAATGGGAAGATATGGCATTCTTGCCTGGCACTGTCCCCCCACCACCCCCACTCCCGTCCCAGCTCAGTCAGTGCAAAGCTTCTAGTAGAATGCGGCGAGCCGAAAGCACCCACGGCAGGTTTGCTGCTGGACAGAGCACAACTGAGTTCCAGCAAAAGGTGAAAAACACCTCCCAGTCATGTCGTCAGGATCTTGGCGGCAAGTGAATGAGGGCGGCCAGCACTTCATTCAGCAGAGGTTGTTGTCAGGTTGGAAAAAGCAATCTTATGGCCAACAAGCCAGAAATTTCATAGAGAGATCTGGAAATGAGACAATCACTGAGGAGCTTGAAAAATTCTCTACACACCTGCCTTCTGAGAGTGTGCAGTGTGGGAGCAGAGAGGATCCAAGTTCTCCACACATCCCTGGCGAACTGACACAACAGACTTGCAGAGGACATGTGGATGGGCATGTGGGAATCCTACTGGGCTGATAGAAATGTTCTAAAGCTGGATTGTGGTGATGTTTGCACAACTCTGTACATTTACCAAAAATCACCAATTTTATACTCCAGATAGGTAAATGATACATCAGTAAAGCTGTTAAAAAAAAATACTTAGGTTCTAGTGAATGACTCTAAAGAATGTTGCTTGGAGAATTTTCCTTTGGTATATTACGGCACTGCAAAACCAACTTCTGACAGAACAAATGAGCTATTTTTGGTAAGAGATATTGGTCACCTGCAATGATTTCGTCAGTCCATCATGCACTGCATTAGAGCTTAGAAAGCGTTAACTTTCCAAGACCATCAATAAGCAAGACTCACTTGAAAACTATATATTTAAAGATGAAGATGTGTGTTCTGAGACATCATGTGTCAACATTGATTGAGCACAGAGTTTGCCACAGAGGCTAGGAGGCATACTACTTAAATTTGACAGCCTTCAAAGGGTTTATACTATTACAATTATAAGTTGATTTACAATAGTATGTTAAAGTTAAATATTATATTACTGTTACTGGGATAGGGCTGGTAGAAAACGAGATGTTCTTAAAAAAAAAAAAAAAAGGCGCCTGGGTGGCTCAGTTGGTTGGGCGACTGCCTTCGGCTCAGATAATGATCCTGGAGTCCCGGGATCAAGTCCCACATCGGGCTCCCTGCTCAGCGGGGAGTCTGCTTCTCCCTCTGACCCTCCTCCCTCTCATGCTCTCTGTCTCTCATTCTCTCTCTCGCAAATAAATAAAATCTTAAAAAAAAGAAAAGAAAACGAGATGTTGCCAAACACATCTGATAAATTATAAAATATCTTCTTCATTCGTTACTGCATTTAATCCTTGTAACAATCCTGTGGGTATTGCCAAAAGACAGGGAAACTGAGGCTCAGAGTGATTCAGCAGCTTGTTCAAGATCACATATCTTATGCCAAAGCTGAGATATGAATCCAGGTGGCTGATTCTCAAGCAAATGTTGGTGAAGATCTGGGATAACTGTCACTCATACCTGGTTCATTGGGGTGTAAATTTGTAAAATTTCCATGGAAGATAACTTGGTAATATCTAGCAAATGAAAACTGCATATATTCTTTGTCTTTGAAATTCCACTTCTAGGATGTTTGTGGTTCAGTATAAATGGCCATCAGTAATGAATTAATTAAATAAACCTCTGTCTAGAAATGGAATACTATACAGCCATCCAAGGATGTGTATCTGAATATACTAATACAGAATAATCTGCAAGGTATATTATCAAATTAAAAAAAAGCTGTTCTCCACACTTTTTAAAAAAGATTTTATTTATTTATTTGACAGAGAGAGACAGAGAGGGAACACAAGCAGGGGGAGCGGGAGAGGGAGAAGCACGCTTCCCGCCAAGCAGGGAACCCGATGTGGGACTCGATCCCAGGACCCTGGGATCATGACCTAAGCCAAAGGCAGACGCTCAATGACTGAGCCACCCAGGCACCCCTGTTCTCCACACTTTTTTGTATTTTTTAAAAGGGACTGGCTACCTAAAGAGACAGGGAGTTGTGGATACTATCATAAAACCAATTATACAATTTTAAACTGAGGTCTGTGGTTAATTATTTTTATTTTTTAAAAATTATTATTATTATTTTGATTTTCCATAGCAAGATTTTATGCAACAAAGTGGTTATTAAAAAGCTCTGCACATATATTAAGTATTTGTTTGTTTTATTATTAACATATAATGTATTGTTTCAGGCGTACAGGTCTGTGATTCATCAGTCTTACACAATTCACAGCGCTCACCATAGCACATACCCTCCCCAATGTCCATCACCCAGCCACCCCATCCCTCCCACCCCCCACCACTCCAGCAACCCTCAGTTTGTTTCCTGAGATTAAGAGTCTCTTATGGTTTGTCTCCCTCTCTGGTTTCTTCTTGTTTCATTTTTTCCTCCCTTCTCCTATGATTCTCTGCCTTGTTTCTCAAATTCCACATATCAGTGAGATCATATGGTAATTGTCTTTCTCTGACTGACTTATTTCACTTAGCATAATACCCTCTAGTTCCATCCATGTCATTGCAAATGGTTAAGATTTCATTTTTTTGATGGCTGCATAATATTCCATTATATATATTATGTGGTTAATTTTTAAAAAATATTTAATTTATTTATTTGAGAGAAAGAGGGAGAGCATGAGTGGGGGCCAGGGGCAGAGGGAGAGGGGGAAGCAGACCCACCCCTGAGCAGGGAGCCCGACACGGGCATGGGGCTTGATGCCAGGACCCTGAGATCATAACCTGAGCCGAAGGCAGACACTTAACCAACTAAGCCACTCAGGCGCCCCCATGATTAATTTTTAACTAGTGTCTGTGGTTTCCATATTTACAAATGGCAAAATAGTGAGCTGTTGACTAGGATATGGGATGGCCTCATCGTATATAAGTGAGTGTTTCTATGGTATTAGTTAAAAGGGATTTTTCCTAGTCTTTTAAGCTCTTCTCTTTTCTGACTTGGCCTATCCAAATCTTCAGAGTTAGAAGGAAACTTAGAAACTGTGTGGTTCAATACTTATCAACAGCAGGTCACAGCCTCCCAGTGAATTCTGAAATTAAATTTGTGGGTCAAAACTAACATTATTTCATCACTAAAAATTAAAAAAAATAAATAATATAGACTAAAACCTTATGGATAAGGAAATGGAGGCTCTGACAGGCCCAGTGACTTGCCCAAGATGAGTAACAGGGCTCGAATTTCTACTCTTGTGTCCAGACTTACAGATTCCTTTTTTGTTTCATCATATTTTATAGATGTTTCTGTTGCCAGGGTCACTGAAGGACTTTAAAGAGTGGAAAGGTAGGTAATTGAACTTTTATTTTTGAAAGACCATGAGGAACAATGTGGAGGGTGGGCTGGAGGGGACCAACGGGAGGCTGGGAGCCCAGGTAGGAGCTCCAGTGAGAACTGATGATCCATTAAGGCACTGGCTTTATGCCTTCTAAGGAAGAGAAAGGTGTGCAGTTTGTTTAGAGGACAGCAATGACAGGACCTGGAGATGACTGAGTTTGAAGTGGTACAGGAGAAAGAGTCAAGAAGAAATTCTAGGTTTCAGACTTGGGTACCTGGGTAAATGGTAGGGTGGTCTGCTGAGCAAGAAAAAACAGGAGAAGGATCAGTTTTGGGGGCAAAGACAATGAGAATGGATTTGAGATGTCTTTGGAAGTTTCACGTAGAGACGTCCAGGAGGGAGTGAGAAATCCAGCTTGGAATGCAGAAGAGAGCTCAGGGATAGAGCTTCTTATCTGGGGGTCATCCGTAGAGGGTGAAGGATAGCTGTGAAAGGATTTCTTCTTTTGGGTTCCTTTGGTCCTTACCCCTGAGTGTGGTTTCCAGGATTTCTTATTGGAAAGCCATGAGCAGAAACTTCTCACCGCACATCACCTCAACCAAATGCCACAGATACACAAAATGAAACCACTGGGGGCAGACTCAGAAACCAAAGCAACAAATTCTCCTCTCAAATTCTCTTATTTACTTGTTTGGTTTCCATTTGTGCCAGTGTAATTAAACAACTCTTTCTTTTACTTGGAACCTCTTTCTTTGGCCACTAGGGACTTCCCTCTGGTAGTGGCAGCAGTGACTTCAAGGACTTACCCCAGAGACCTCAGAACAGAAGCAACTGCTTTTCCACTTGAACTGTTATTTCTCTGCCTGAGGGAATCTTCTTGACCAGTGATCCTGCTAACCCTTAATGGGAAGTTTGGCCTCTGGGCTTCTTTATAGATATTAAATTCACAGTGAAACCGTGTAAGAATCCCATTCATTAAAAATTTCATTCATACTCTCCAAGCTGAAAACAAGAAACCACATTTTGGATTATATGGATAGCCACTCTCAGTGACCCAACTGACCAGTTGTTTCTGTTATGATACATTATTCCTGTGAATTCCAAGGGGATTAATGAAATAGAAACATTTTCTTATTTCACATTTCATGTAGATGCTAAGGCTTTGTTGGGAGGTTACTTGGTTATGGAGCAGGAATATTTCTCAGTGGAGGCTGTCAAGTTGGGCTATGTTAAAGGACACTGGATGTAGAATTTGCCTGGATTGGAAGGATCTAGAGTTTCCACTGGCCACAAATACAAGACCTATCGCTGACTAGATTCGTAACCTTGACAAGTCACTTTGCCTTTCCAGTCTTCATTTCTCTTCTTGAAGAAAAGGTGAAGTGGCTTTTCTGTGCTGAGGGTCCATATGAGGGTCCACATTGTTCTGGGTCCCCATGGAACTTAAAGGGAAACTTCCACAATGTTCAGAGCCCTTGGCATCCTCCTGCGATGGGAGGAGGATGTCCTGTAATTCCTTGCAGCAGGAACCCACTTAGGTGGCACCAACCCTGACTTCCAAATGGAACAGCACATACACAAAAGGAAAAGCGATGGCGTATTTCAAATCTGGAGAGATCTTATGAGAAGCTTCTGCCAGCAGCTGGTGCCGTTGTTGCCATCAAAAACCGGGCCGCTGTCAGTGTCATATCCGCCAGGCCCAGGGGCCCGGGGGCTGTGCTCAAGTCAGCTGCTGCCGCGGGAGCCACTCTGCTTGTGGCCGCTTGGCTCCCGGAACCTTCGCTAACCAGGGGCTGGCGGCCTGCAGGGGGCTGTGTCTCCCGGTGGTTAGGGATCCCCGGGCTGACCACCAGCCCCTCACAGAGAGGTCTTCTGTTAACCGGCCTGCTATCGCTTTGGGTAACCGGACTCTCCTCGGCGCTGTGTGGACGCGGCCACCCGAACAGGGCGGGGCTCGCGCAGTGGGTCGGGGGCGGGGGATGCTGGCCCGGGAAGTTCTGCACACGCGTGGCACCATCGCTCGTGAACCCCCAGGGGAGGCCACCCCTCATCTCTCCGGGAAAGGCCGTGACCGAGGAGGACTTTCCGGGCGAACGGGCTGCCCCAGACCCCGAATTTACTGCTGCTCAGCCTGAGGTCTCAGCTGGTGCGCACGTGTCCTGCAGTTCCCTACGGAAGACTGGAGCTCCCAGCCGCGGCTCAGGACTGCTCTGCAGCTCCCACTGCTCAGGCCCCTCGGTGGGTAGGAACAACCCCTGCGTGATCCTAAGCTGCTCTTCCACAGACTCTTAAACAGAAAATGGATATAAGGTTGATGGAGAATAAACAGTTTCCTAAAAAAAAGTAAAGGAGAAATGGGATCAAGTGGTCACTAAGTTTCCTTCTGAATCTAAAACTGCCGTGATTTTGTAAATGACTCTACAGTGGTCCTCATTTAAAGGACAGTTTATCAGACAATTAATTAAGCAAATATGTATGGAGAGCCCGTGTGTGCCTGCACTCCACCTGGAGCTGGGGAAACGGAGGACGGAGGTCACAGCGCCCGGCCCTTGCAGGCTACCGGGAGACATGACAGCTGTGTCCCAGGGGCCGCAATGGCCTGAGCTTTCCATTTCTGACTCTGTCATGATCATGTCCCTAGTTTGCTCACTGTAAAATGGAGTCAAATTCCGATAACTTCCTGTCTATCTCCTCTACTAGCACAAAGGACCGTCTCTTTTATTGGTGGTTGTATCTCCAGTAACTGGAAAAATACCCACCACATCGTTGGTGATTGATGTACAAGGTGTAATGATGGGGCACAGATTTGAAGGATATATTTAAAAGTGGTAGAAGAATGAGCTCATACAATGGTCTTCCAACATCAGTATGCAAATCCCAAGAAAGTTTACAAAGACTTTCCATGACATGGGCGGGGATTGATAGCTTTAGGGGTATCAATCAACTTCCACACGAACCATTTCTCAAAGTGGATCTGCCTGGGAACTGCTGAAAAAGTTGTCCTGCTGGGATTTCCCCCATCTTCCCTCTTACAAGCTTCTCTTACTCAATAAATTAATGACTTTTCTCCCAGTCTTACGGAGATGCTTTCCCCCAGGTGGTAAAAAGCACCTGAGAAGAAATGCCTGGTGGTATAGGGGTGGGTTTAAGACAGTAAATGGCTCTAATGACTGACTAATACATTTTTGCAAGCCAAGTGGTCTCCAATTCTTTCGTCAACAAAATTTAAGTAGAACCTAATGGGTTGTCACCTGATAGATGGCTAAAAATAATTTTTCATGGTGGATCAATCACAATGTGATTTTTGGCATGTACTTCACAGGGAACTCACAGAATTGATTGACATTGCTGTAACAAGACACCTTCCATTTCCACCTACTTGTTTATGAACGGGGTTTCTCAAGCTTTACATCTATAAAAACAAAAATGGAAATAGAAATGATGGCAAACTCTTGTCTTATTCTGTTAATAAGTAATATTCATTGAATACATGAATGAATTGGAAATGAAAACAAGCTCCTCTCAATAAAAGGTGCATTTCCAATATAATTTCCTTTTTATTCTATGATTATTCAAAGTTTATAATATATTTCTATTGTTTTAATTGACTGATTAATAATAGTAATTATAACACTAACAATATAGAAGAATTTTATTACTTAGAACCTTATGGTCACAGGAAACTTAAAAAAAATAAATTGATATTTATATACTATTTTTGTGCAAAGAAGTTTGATCAATAAAACATTTCATAAATGAAATAAAATTACATTAGGACTAAATTTTAGGCAGAAGTGGAATGGAAATATAAATTCAATAATAAATAAATGATATAAATACAAAATTTCCAACCGTTAAAGAAGAGCTTGTTCATTTATTCATTTTTTTAAAAAATGGAAGTGCTAGTCAAATTGCCTTAGTATTTAAATTCCATTGGATACATTTAAAAGATACATTCTATTGGATGTACCAAATATATTTTTAAATGTTTATATCTAGAAAGTTCTGGAAATTACTTTCTTTGCAATTCTTTAAATTCTTATGATTTTAAGAATTTAAATTCTTATGATGGACAAATTTTGAAGTGAATTTAGTGATGTATGAGGAGTATTTTTTTTTCTTTTAAAATTTTATTTATTTACTTAGAGAGAACATGAGCAGAGGGAAGGGCAGAGGGAGAGAGAGAGAGAGAATCCTAAGTGGACTCTACCCTGAGCATGGAGCCCAATGTGGGGCTCAATCTCATGACCCTGAGATCATGACCTGAGCCAAAACCAACAGCTGGACACTTAACCAACTGAGCCACCCAGGCACCTCAAGGAGTATGTTGTTTTAAACATTTTGGGGGGACCTACAGGTTTGAAGAGTATTGGTTAGTAATACAAGTGTGACATTCTAGGGGCGCCTGGGTGGCTCAGTCGTTAAGCATCTGCCTGCGGCTCAGGTCATGATCCCAGGGTCCTGGGATCGAGTCCCGCATCGGGCTCCCTACTCGGCGGGAAGCCTGCTTCTCCCTCTCCTACTCCCCCTGCTTGTGTTCCCTCTCTCACTGTGTCTCTCTCTGTCAAATAAGTAAAATAAAATATTTTTTAAAAAAACACAAAAAACAAGTGTGACGTTCTAATCCTGGCTGCAGGGTTGTTATCAAGCCTTGGGAAATGCCCTTCTTAATCCCTCTCTGTCCATTTCTCTTTCAAAAAAAAAAAAAAAGGGTACATCTGCTTCCTTTCCCTTATTCTCAGGAAAATTCTGAGATCATATGAGATAATGAAATAATGTGAAAGGTCTAGATTATTTCCTGGGGGCAAGTTGGACACCTCTGGGAAGTTTCAATAACTTTTCAAGGCTAACAGGATACTGGTTAGTTCCCCAGAAAGTATACATGGAAGGTATTCTTATTACTACCTTTATGTCACTGTAGCCTCCTCTTTCCCCGGTTTTGATTCAGCCCTTGGAATTTCACGAAAGCAGTCTAACCTCATAGGATTAGTTCTGCATCTCTGCATCAGGGGATTAGCAAGAAGAGACCTCGCTCTATTTCAGGGCACAGTCCAAGGTTCTACTCTGGTGGTCAGGAAGAGAAACCATAGACTCTACAACAGAAAAGCCAACAAGCCTGAACTCCCTTCCCAGATGGCCATGGGGCACATGTATCTTAGCTCAGAGTATATTGTCTGAGGTTCCGAGTGTTGTCACTGTTAACACCTATTCAGGTAACTGAGGCGAGTCAATCCACACCACGTGGGCCCCTTCAGCTTGGTAGATTATCTGACATCTTGTATTTAAGCCCTTTCCTCTTTTTTTTTTTTTAAGATTTTATTTATTTATTTGTCAGAGAGACAGAGAGAGCACAAGCAGGGGGAGTGGCAGGCAGAGGGAGAAGCAGGCTCCCCATTGAGCAAGGAGCCCGACCTGGGACTCGATCCCAAGACTCTGGGATCATGACCTGAGCCGAAGGCAGACGTTTAACCGACTGAGCCACCCAGGTGTTCCTCAAGTCCTTTCCTCTTAAAGATGCTTGTAATTTTGTAAACAATTAATGGAAAGTTAGACCTCAAGCCTCTCCTCCCAGTTCATAAAGCTCATTAGGTTGTGTTATCAGGTGGGCCTAATGTGCTTCAGAATTGGCTTTGCTTCGGAGGCCTTAATGAGAACATTGAATTTCGAATGAGGACTTTTAAGACACCTGCGGTCTTGAAAAGTCATGGAGTTTTAAGCTGTGGCGTCAGTCTAAGAACTTGTGGGGAAATGGTGGTGGGGAACTGCATAGGAAAAGAGAAGCTAGAGTAGGATTTCTCCATCAGGTGGGATAGCACATTCATTCATTCACTCGTTCAGTGTATATTTGTTTAGCTCCTGTCATGCCATTGGCAGAAATGCAGATAAATGCCCTTCCCCGTTCTCAGGGAGCTTATACTCTGGCTGCAGGAAGGCGAAAACAATGACAATACTATGCAATTACCCAAATGAAGACACTGTTGGAACAAAGGAGAATAAACAGCAAATTCTACGTAGGGAAGCAAAGGAAGACTTTCCAGAGGAGATGGCCTTTGAGCTCAAGACAGGGAGGAAGGCAGTTCAAGAATAAAGAATGTCGTGTCTCCCTGGAGGCCAGGGGGAACTTGGGATGAACAAGAAGCTCAGATGCCACCCACTCAAAATCAGAGGGAGAGTGGCTTGAGTTAGGCTCGATGGGAAGATGAGTATAAGCAAAATGGGATATTATGTCCAGGGGAGGATCCGGCTTCAGACTCAATCCAAGAACTCATAGGTTGTCGTCAGTTCTTTCTCCGTATTCCCCACCATCTCTCAGCTCTGCTGCTCTCCTTAGCTTCTGATTCATAGTGTCTCTCCAGAGTGAATGAGATGGCTACCAGACTCTTATTTTCTCCGTGTAGCAACTCCAATATCCATATACCAATTCCAGGGAAGTTTCTGATTGCCTCTGTGGGGTCACATGCACAATCATAAACCAATTATTCATGGAGGTTGGGGGAATGGGGATTCCTTTCTGGGTGACCGCCTGGGCCATTCCTATGATCTTGGGGGCAGGCACCAAGTCTGACAGCTCCAGCAGAATCCCAACAGAAAGCTGGGAAAGAGATCTCCAAAGAAACTAGAAGAATAGACACACGCTGGGAATATAAAAAGTGTAGCTACCACTGACCACAAGAGCAGAATTTGATTACAATATGGCAGTGGAGATATGGAAGAGACGATAGACAAAATAGGTTTTCAGGGGCTATAATTGACATCGAGACTTGGTTTTTGCTCCCCTGATCTTCTAAAAAAATGGATTTCTGTCTTTGGCAGCTACCTTCTCCCAGTGGATGCTGCCACTGGGAGAAGATTGAAAGTATTGGTAGCCAGAGAGGGCTAAATAAATAGATAGAGATAAATAAATAAGTAAAAATAGATAGATAGATGATAATAGAGATATTTGTTTATGATACCTTTCTTGGTTCCTCCAAAGAATTTGAGGCAACTTATAGGGATAATATAGTAAACTAAGAGTCATATTACCCAAGTTCTTATCCAATGTATTATAGGTGGGCTGCAAATGTAGTTCTTTGCTTCCTGGAAGCCAGAGCAAAGGGGGCAACGTTATCAGTCAAAAAGTTTACAATGATTGGGCGCCTGGGTGGTTCAGTTGGTTAAGTGTCCAAATCTTGATTTCAGCTCAGGTCATGCTCTCAGGGTGGTGGGATCAAGCCCCGTGTTGGGCTTCACACTGGACATGGAGCCTGCTTGAGATTCTTTCTCTCCCTCGGCCTCTGCCCGTCCCCGGTTTGCACGCTCTCATTCTCAAATAAATAAGTAAAGTCTTTTTTAAAAAGTTTGCGATGACCATCAGAGAAACTTGATCATTATTGATTCTGAAACCTGAAAAGGAATATCTCTCCAGCACTCATAAAGTTGTCATTGTGTAAGCTTGTAGTAATATCGTTCTGTCAGTAAACATAATAATACAGTTTGTGGGGATCTTAGAATGGTTTTCAGTGGCGGCTAATATCATATAGCTAAAGCATTAGTTAAGAGAAGTAATGTACTCTGTAACAAATCCAGGATATTTTGCAATCTTGGAAAAGTCTTGCAGAAGCCAGGTGAATCCAACAGTTAGATGAGTATTAGCGTTTATTGAGCTGTGAATCCCTTTAGTCAGGGCATGGGCTCCCCATCATTCTTAGTGTCTTACACCCAATTTATTTCTGTTACTTGTATTACCAGTCTAGCCCTTAAATGCATTTGCATATATGACTTCTGGAAGAGATGTACATAACCCAGCAGTCCAAGTCCCCCTCCACATTTCTCCACCTGCATATCAGGATACTGTGGTATCTCTGCCCCACCCCCCGCCTTCCTAGCTGCCTCTTATACTAGTTTATCAAATGCCCCTTCCATTCTCCTCCAATCTTCTTTTGGTGAATCATCCCATTCACCCCCTCCTGCTCTTGGCTTCAGGACTGGGAAGGTAAAGCTACCATCTTCCTAAAGACTCAGCACCCCCACTTGCAGTGTGGTGAGACTGATCCATGTTTTTGGATTGTTTGCATGACTGGCCTGGAAACTGAAGCCAAAGGAATTCCCAGTGAAAATGCTTTCATCTTGAGCCAAGAAGCCTGGGTAACTTTGAGTTCGGAATGACCATAGCTGCTTGTCTCGGAAATCTGAAGTAGCCCAAAGATTTGGCTTTCATTTTCTGGTGTGATGTGAAAGCAACAGTGCTTGCCTAAGTAATGGGTGGTGGAGGAAGATCCATGCAAACACCTGAAATGAGAGGCATTTGCGCGTGAACTCCCTGCTTTCTTTGAAATTCCAGATTCTGAGGATGAGTGAGCGTATCTGGCTCCAGCTAGTAAGTACAGAGACTCCCAAGATGGAGAAAGGCAACTGCAACGTTTTAAAGAAGTAGCTAGCTACCTCAGATGAAAACCAACTGTTAGATGATTTTATCGTCTAAGATTCTTGACAATGAATGTAATTTAGGAAGTGATACACATGTGTGTACTTTCAAAAAGAGGAAGTGGGCATTTAG